GGGTTCACCTGCCCAAACAACATTCGGGCCTGTAACTTCAGAGGGATTTAGTGGTATTTCAGACATTCACAGGTACTATTCCTCTGGTCTTCCATAATGCTGTCATCGAGATTACTTCAGGAATCAATTCCAAAGTTTTTGTCACCATTCAGATTAGCTTGTAGCACAACATACAGACCTGTTTGGTTCCAGCTCAACTTTGCTGAGGCTCAAAGGCATGTTACATCTACCAGATGTAGAACTGTGAATCAACTGTTGGTACACTGGCTGCAGCATGGAGTGCACACCCTCTGTTGTAGAGTTGTTTTCTGAAGTAAGGGGGGGCTAAGAATTGCCTTATTAGATCTTTGTTCATCCCCATGATCAAAGATCTTTGTGGACCTTGGGTTCCGGGAACACATAAAAGCTAGTGTGTCAAAGGTCCTTGGTTATCAGAGGACTAGAGAATTAAACAACAGTTTGATCTTTAGAATACATTTCAGGGGAACTTCCATACTACAATGCCCTAGATCTTTAAATCCTCAAATTCTTGTAAAGACAGGTGCTTTTCATAAAAATTCTCTGTACAGCAGGGTCTCTTGTGCATATGAGTGAAGGAGGGCCTTTATGTAGATGCATTCTACTTAAACAGGCATGTTCAGAGGGGCTTACTAGCTTATGAGGAGTTTTTTTGAAGCAGTTACAGTCATAGATCCAGTCCAGGCTTGCAGTCCTCTCTTTCTCTGAGGATATGTCTCATGACATTTTGCAATTTCATTGGGGACCTCCAAAGGTTTTCCTTAGCTTCTAGTGCTGGCTTTCTTCCTTTAGTGTACTTGTACAGTTGCTTCTGTATTGGCCTAAACCTCCACAAATGTCACTGGACCCATGGACCACACAGTAGGAGTAACTGGAGATCTTTCATTCCGAGATGGGCCAGATGCAGTCTCTCCAAAAGATGCTGCGAAGATGCAGCAGCCAGCAGTCATCATTTCCATCAAATGGTTTCACATTGCTGTTTGTCTTATCATTTGGCTGATGTATCTACATTGCATAAACAATATGTATATTTATAGTCAAAAAGATGTGTGCACATTACATAGGCTAAGCCTATGTATACACTGGCAGGGGTTTTGCCCCTACTCCATTCCATGATGTTGTTAGATTTACCCACATGTGTTCCAAATCGTCCAGCTGAGGCAAGTGCTTAAAGTTTATTTTCAGGCAAAACCTTTTCTTTAGTTTGAATAGAGTAAGGGAAGATTATACCCTCTGTTGAGTTTTTACTGCTATTTGAGTCTTAAATAAACAGATTTACAACTCTGTTTTGTGCTTTTGACTTTTATCACAGAGAAAGAAGGTGAGGAGGTCTAAAATTGTTCCAGAACAAGAGCTGAGGGGAAATCTTTTCCATTTATGACAACTGTTCCAGGTCTAGGATGGGAATGTTCCTCACCTTGGGAAATTTCCTCTAACTTCCTGTTGTGTCTTTGGGACAGACTGTGGAGGAATGTTTCCCTAATGATACATATACAGCAAAAAATATACTACTAGGGGTTTTATGCTTCCCTTCTCTATCCAAACATGTTTTGGCTATACACACACTTCAAATGTTGAACATTTATTTTTAGCCATTTATAGAAGTCAATGTTGATCATGAATACCTTGGTATGAGTGGCTGTATTTCAAGTACCTCATTACATCAGATTAGTTATTACCTAATTATGTGTGGGTTTTTCCAAGCAGTCCATTATGTTTTAAATAACAAAAAATAGCTACTTATATCAATTGTATATATGATGTATTATTTGTTAAAATGCCAGACAGTTATGATGAATTTATTGTACGACACTGCAATATCCCTGTACCCTCAGTAGTGCACCCTGGATTACTTGATGCCTTATGTAATAATATGTATATCTTTACATACTGTGGACATATGTGCAAGAAAAATGCCTATTGTTGAATACTAGAATCATTTTAATATTTCTCTTTAAAACAGTCCATAACAGTTTAGTAGTTACAAGCCTGAAAATTTTAGACAAGAGAAATCAATAAATATTGCTCACTGCTGTAGTAAATATATCAAAGACAAGCTTATGATTACAGAAAATATGATGAAAGAATACATCAATTAAGATACAGACCAATAAAGTACTGTTATCTCCGTCCTTGCAGAATTATTGAAGAAATGTATAGCTATCTCTGAAATGCAGCAGTCAGAGACACATAGGGAATGATCTTCCTGCTTAGTGCATAAAAGATAGATTGCTGCGAACCTCAATAAGTATTGATTGACTTGACAGCAAACAAGAGCCTACATTATACTAAGCAAAAGACTAAACACCATAGCTATATACAAGGTCCTATTTAAAATACTATGTAGTCAGTTGTATTATCCATTCAGAGATATTAATCTTCTGCACAGGATAAATATTTAGCATTTAAAAAATTAGGGGTTGTAATGGCACTCTCTGTGTGTATCCTTATTGCCATTGTTAGTCAAATTTTTTTGCGTGCCTATCAGTGTTGTGATTGTGATTCTATATAACGTCCCACCATGTAGGTGGACCCCTTTTTTTTTTGCCATCCTGTTTTATGCTATTATATGCCTGTTTCTCAATAAAAAATATTAAAACATAAAAAATTAGGGGTTTTATATGGAACTAGTTTTTAAATTCTTTTCCAATATGATATTACAGAGAAATATTAATAAATTACCTGTCATCTTGTTTTCTTACATTAATCTATTTTTTTTGTTCACTGGGGTTTAAGGTTAGGTTCCCACTATTGCAGCTCTTCAAGCCACGTTTGCTTGGGCACAGCAGCACATTCATTTGAATTGGCTGCTGTGCCTGTGTTTTACACAGGAAAAAGGTTCCTGCATCAATTTTAGACCAGTGTCTGGGCAATCACATGGTACTTTTGCATCATGCGATTTCCCAGTGGTTCCCACACCTGCAAGCACGCTGCGGTTTTACATGCAAGGGGTACCACTAAGAATGAATGGCAGCCCCACATGTCTCTAAAGAGCAGTGCATTTTGGCTGCCGGTGTTGAAACAGCTGCGATTCCTACACCTGCAAACAACCCGCAATAGCGAGAACCTAGCCTAAATAAATATTGTTATGGATACTGATTGCTGATGACGAATTGGGTATATTCATTTTAAAAGGAAAGTATTTTCAGTTAGCATGTATTGGTAGATATTATTATAGCATTTGATATATTGTATGACTTTCACATTTTTACAACCTTGCTTGATCCTGCTTGTGTTTCAACAGGTTTTGATTTTGCAATCAGTTTGAGATGCTTCTGAGATCATTCACAATGCTTTTTGGAGCATTCATATGAAAATTTGTATGAAAATTCTAAGTGCATTCAATGAATTGAGGGAATGTCGTTCGAAATTCGAAAGTACTTTTGCTTGTTTTTAACATTCGATTTTGGAATGACTTCCAAAACAAAAAAAACACATGTATTATTAGAAATACGTTTGTTGGAGAAAATCTTTCATCTTGTACCTTCAAGTTTTTTCATCATTGTGATAACAAACAAACCTCAGTTTGACCCCACGAACAGTTAGAAAATCAAACGCTGGAATGAGATTTGCTACACAGAGTGCAACCTCCCGACAGGAAGTTCAGGAAAGTCTACACATAGGGATCGGGAGCCGGTGGCGGTGAAATTATCAATATGTAAATGTTTGGGAGCACTTCTCAAAAAAAATAATTTATTGTACGTGCTTCCATTCATGCATAGAATGCCCCATTTTTTAAACATTAAGCATTTATTACTAATAAACTAATATTAAATATAAAAATGCTGTAAACTGTTATCTGTACTCTATATACAATGTGTGATAAAAGTAATTATACAAACCAACAAAAGCATGGAATTAATGTCTTGATTACATAATAGTAAGCAATGTATATTTTAACAGCTGTCACTCCATAGAATGGAATCTACAGAGTGTATGCAGATGTTACATTCTGTAACTGAAAATGAATTAGAATGTTTCTGTAGCAGCAGAGGTTAATTAAAATTGCCCAGCCAGTAAGCAAAAAGGCTTATCTCTGAATCAGACAAGGTTCCTACACCATTATCTTTTTCAATACAATTTTAAGACAGAAAGCAGACTGAACAATGGTCATTTCTCTGAAGTGAAAAAGAAAAATATCTGCCCAGACAGCTGTGGACCAGTGACACTATCCCAGCTACTCAAGATGTCTCTTTAAGATAAAAAAAAATTCAGAACAACATAAGCTATGCTGTGGAATACTATTAGCTTTGTAGGGATGCTATTGTCATGGAGAAATATCCCTGGCAAGGTCACATAATTGATATTATGCAATTTTATGACATTACACACTTAGCTATATACACAGTGTATTATGTAAAATCATTATTCTAGATATAATTTTATTTAGTTACTGATGTTCTTTTTGTATTATAACTCAGAGGTTTTAACTACCTATTGTTAAAACATGTAAACAACAAATAAAATTGATTCAGACGGAAATTATTTGTTTGGCACTCTCTCTTCCTTATAACCTTATATACAGTCTGTTTGTTAGGAATAGTTACCCTCAAATGTAACACACCCGTATGAGGAGCCAAAGATGACAAGGGTGCCCTTTTGCAAAATTCCTGTCCTAGCACCCCTGGAAGGGTCTGTGGACCCTAGAGTTTGTAAGTGCCAGGGTGCAGGAACTGAAGACTGAAACTTATATGCACTTTTATCAGATGGACAGGAACACAGCTGGTAGTACTCTAAGGATACACCAAGTTCAGTTGTGAAGTTGAGTCACTAGCCGGGTCTGGTATCAGAGGAACAGGAAGGCACCAAAGCGTTAGAAAAAAGAGAAGAGGAGCAGGGGTGGACTGACAACTCATGGGGCCCCCGGGTAATAGGGGATCATGGGGCCCCTGTGTCTTTGCCCAAACTCAAAAAAGCCTATGAAAAAGGTACCTGGGGCATCTCATGGGGCCCCCTACTGACCCCGGGCCCTTGGGCAGTGCCTGAGTTTCTGTCAGGAATGGACTCATCACCGGTGGTGCTAGGGCTCACCTGCCTTATGGGCTGCAGTACCAGTGCTGGCCAGCGGGTGCTCTCAGCAGCCAGAATCTCACTCCTGCAATCAAGCCATCACCTGAGGCTGATTGCAGGAGGTGTATTTAAGCAATGGCCAGGCCTGCAGTCAGTGCCTTTGTGTTGTTTCCCATGAGCCCCTGTACCTTGTATCCTGTGTTCCTGTTCCTGTTCTTCTGCCTATCTGATTTGTTGCCGACCCTGCCTGATCCTGACCTCTGCTGACTTCTCCTGCTCTGACCCCTGGCTCGTTTGACTACTCTTCTGGACATTCCTATTCTGATCTGAACCCCCGTTACCGAACCCGGCGAGTGACCTGACTACCTTTTGCCTGCTGCCTTGTACATATTAGTGTTAGTTAAGGTTTGGTTTCGTTTGCACTGTGTTTGTTTATTTTGTGCAGCTAATAATAAATCTTATTATTATTTTACCATACTTGAAGCCTGCTGTTTCCCTGTGTCAGTTCACACATCTCTGGTCATACCTGGATCCCTGACAGTTTCCAAATGGTCAGTCCGCCCCTGAATAGGAGGCGCAAGCTAAGTGCAGTAATTAGATGCTGTATTCAATGATATAGGATTAAAAACACTCACAAGAGGCACAACATTACAAGCTCATCTGTGTAGGGGTATGAGGCCACTCCTCTCCGTCCTGCAGGTACCGCCAGTCAATCACCTAGGGTGCCATGGGTGTAAGCTGGAGCAGTGTAGAGCCGTGTGAGCTGGACAAAAGACCCCCGGATGTCATGGGGATGCAGCAGAGCTGGTCCAATGCTGCATGGACCAGGAAGAGTCTGCGCTGACCAGTGTGGAATGCACCGGTGGAAGTGACGTCACCGGAAGAGGTGGAAGACCGGATGTGAAACACAGAGGATACAAAGAACACAGGCCAAGAACACAGGCTACGTGCTCGGAGTTTCTAGCTCCTCCTACAAGAATGTATTTTTTTTATATATATTTTTTTTTTCCAACGCACCATACAAACACAAGTGTATATATGTCAGGCTCCGCCCAAGGGGATCTCTAGTGGTCCACAGCACGGGGTTTCCCAGGACGCGGAGTCTAAGTCCCAGTCTGCCTTTTCACCAGGGCCCTGATGGTGGGGATGGACTTGGTGCAAGACTGGAACCAGGTCGCGCCCCTGGCACACCCCCGGCGGTGGCAGAGGGGTCCCGCTGAGGGTATGTACCCGGGATGAGCCTGCTGTGAAGGGGATGACAGGTCCGATCCGAGCAGATGGATGGGATGACAGATCCCGATCCGAGCGGGATGGACGGATGACAGATCCCGATCCGAGCGGGATGGATGGGTGACTGCTAGGAGTGAGCGAGGTCAGACTAGCCGGGTCGGTATCGTGCGGGCAGCGTGGTACAGGGGGAGTAAGCGGAGAATGGTTGGGGTCACAAGCCAGGTTCAGCAGGTAGCGGGCAGCAGCGCTGGTACCGAGGGTCAGGCAGAAGGATGGTCAGGAACGAGCCGGGGTCAGAGCAGGAGAGGGTCAGCATAAATCAGAACAGGCAGAGTTTGGCAACAAGGAAGCGTACTTACAGGAACAGGAACAAGACCTTGCGGCAACTTGGAGATGCACAGGGCAGTTTTAAATAGAGCGCCCTGTTCTCCCATTGGTGCGGCCGCGATCGCTAGTGCGCATGCGCGGCCGCCGCCGCCGCGATCGCCGAGGACTCTGTGCTCGCCGGCTGGGACGGATCGGCAATCTGCGCATGCGCGCACCGCCGAGGACCCGGGATCCCTGACAATATATGTACACTAACGTGTATATACATACATAGTGTCTGGGAGTTTCTTTTTTACTATCCCTATTTTCTCTAAAATAGAGCATTACTCATAAAAAATCCATCAAATGTTGTAATTCAAGCAATGTTTTACATATTTTCATACAGATGCTTAGTTTTATTTGACTTTTATTATTGTCATTATTATTTTTGTTTTTATAACTTATTTTTCTATATACATAATTTATATATATATATATATTTATATTCCCCCTTCTTTATATATTGTTTTAATAGATGAGTTCTTGTTCAGCACCATTACTTTACTGTCCCTTTAACCACTTGCCCTCCTGAGGATTTACCCCCCCCCCCCGTCCTGACCAGGCCATTTTTTGTGTTATGGCTCTGTGTTACTTTAACTAACAATTGCACAGTCATGCAATGCTGCACACAAATTAAATGTATGTCCTTTTTCTTCTCCCATGACTTGAGCTTTCTTTTGGTGGTATGTGTGTCGCCTGTGTGTTTTTTATTTTTTGCGCTATAAAAAAAAAAGCGACAATTTAGAGAAAAAAAACAATATTTTTTACTTTTTGCTATTAAACGTGTCCAGTAAAAAGATTTAAACAATCAAATTTCGTCATAAATTTCAGCCAAAATGTATTCTGCTACATGTCTTTGCTAAAAACAAATCCCACTACGTGTAAATTAATTAGTTTACATGAAAGTTATAACGTTTACAAATGGCGGTATATATACTGGAATTTTTTTTTTACTAGTAATGGCGGTGATCAGCGACTTATAGCAGGACTGCGGCAGGCATTCTGACACTGGGGGGGAACTGACGTGGTGTCACTGAAATCCCTAGTGACACCAATACAGTGATCAGTGCTAAAAAAAAAGTACTAATGGCACCTGGGCAGGAAGGGGTTAACATGAGGGTTAACTGTGTGTTGGGAGTGTTCTAGTGGGGGGTGGTGCTGTGCACAGCCATCCAGAGCAGTGTGCCCGAGCTGACAGGGAGGAGGGCTATTAGTAAACAAAGCAGCCCTCCTCCCCGTTGGAGATCCACGGTAATCACCGGGCACCGGCGGGTAATCACTGGCCGGGTCCCGGTGATTGACAGCTGCGGCCACAAACAGATGTGAGGGTAGGGCGTGCGCGTGTCTCATGTGTGCCCCCTACTCGGAAATACAAAATCACATACATATGTTTATTTTATACATATAACTCTGTGCTGGGGACAAGCACGGGTTGAATGTAAATCAACACTGTATATATACGCGTGTATATACTAGTGGTGCACTGAAATTTAAATTCTGGTGCTGAAAACGAAATGAAAATTCAAAATGCACTTAACCGAAACGGGAAATGCGCAGTTTTTAAAAATGAATATATATTTTTGAAATAAAATACACTGATTAACCACTTGCCTACCAGGCACTTAATACCCCCTTATTTACCAGGCCAATTTTCAGCTTTCAGCGCTGCCGCACTTTGATTGACAATTGCGCGGTCATGCAACATTGTACCCATATGAAATTTTGATCATTTTTTTCTCACAAATAGAGCTTTCTTTTGGTGGTATTTAATCGCCACTGGGCACTTTACTTTTTGCGCTATAAATAAAAAAAAGTGCAAAAAATTTGAAAAAAAAAAAAAGTTTCTTTGTTTCTATTATAAAATTTTTCAAACAGGCATTTTTTCTCCTTCACTGATGTGCGTTGATGAGGCAGCACTGATGGGCACTGATAGGCGGCACTGATGGGCACTGATAGGCAGCACTAAAGGGCACTGATAGGCAGTACTAATGAGGTGGCACGGATAGGCGGCACTGATAGACAGCACTAATGAGGTGTCACGGATAGGCGGCACTAATATGCAGCACTGATAGGCGGCACTGATAGGTGACACTGATGATGGGTACTGGTAGACGGAACTGACTGGCATCACTGCTGGGCACTGACTGGCGGCACTGACTGGCACAACCCCTGGGCACTGACTGGCAGCACTGCTGGGCTGCACTGGTGGGTGGCACTGGTGGGCAGCACTGGTGGGTGGGCACAGGTGGGTGGCACTGGTGGGCACAGGTGGGTGGGCACAGGTGGGTGGCACTGCTGGGCACAGGTAGGTGGCACTTCTGGGCACAGGTGTGTGACACTGCAGAGTGGCACAGGTGGGTGCACTGCTGGGCACAGGTAGGTGCACTGCTGGGCACAGGTGGGTGCACTGCTGGGCACAGGTGGGCGGAGCTAGTGGGCGCACTGCTGGGCACAGGTGGGCGGAACTTGCGGGTGGCACTGCTGGGCACCGATCATCAGGGCACTGATCATCAGTGCCCTGATGATCGGTGCCGATCCCCGCTCTGACAACTGCCAGTTCTCGGCAGTACTTTCCTCACGATCTGACAGCGTGAGCAAAGTGCAGCCGAGAACCGGCACTTGCATTTCCCTCTGATCAGCGTGTCATTGGACACCGCTGATCACGTGGTAAAAGGCCGCTGTGATTGGCCTTTTACCACACCACGTGATTAGCTGTGTCCGTAGGACACAGCGATCATGGAGATCGCCGGGTGCGCGCCCCCTGGGGCGCGCAGGAGAGCGCGTTCTGGGAGGACGTCATATGACGTCCACTCAGAACTGGCCGGCCGCAGTGCAGCCGTCATTCGGCTATCTGCAGTCGGCAGGTAGTTAAAAAAAACCAAAAAAATATATATATACCGCAATTTTTTTGTACAATATAAAAGAGGATGTTACGGCGAGTAAATAGATACCCAACATGTATAATAAGGTAGTGCGGCGCTATATATACTTCATGAAATATCAAATATAAAATTCATAAGATGAGATGGCAAGAAATGGTCACATGAATACTAATAAGTAGCACTAATACCAGCCCCACACACTAAACAATAGGTGGACACAAGTAGGACACACTCCCCCTTCTAGATCCTCACCTGAGGGATCATTAATACAGTGCAAAACAGTGTGTGCATCCCTTCAGGGGATGAGGTAATAACACAGTGAGCCATGCACAAAAACTGCTGAACAATACTACAGCACTCCACCCTTAAATGTACATGGATGCTGTAGTATAAAAAGTCCACTTGAATAACTTCGCACACACATGCAAGTGATGATCTCGTGCTTGTGCTGATAATGCGCCAATCCTCAGTAGCTGGAGTGCCCCCTCACCTTCCTGCCCAGGCCCCACTGGACCAATGAGCCTTATGAATCACTCAAAAAGACGATCCTCCCAGTCCTGGGTAGTCTTCATAAAAATGGTGGTGGTACCTTTTCCTCCTTACGTTAGTTTAGCCTCCAGCCATGACACTCCTGTGTATGTTACTCTCCTTGAACGGCCCAGTATTAAAACAGAAAATGGCCAACATAGTGTAAAAATTTGCAGAGACACAGTCAGGCTTTCACACCACACTATGGGTGTACTGCATGGGTAAACAAATGGGTGCACCAAGATGGCGCCCGTGCCGGACATGATGTCACCGCGCATCAGAAGCTCCTCCTACTTGCGTATCTACGCGTTACGTCACAATCTGTCATGTGACTTCTTCAAAT